CAGGCGAAAGATGCTAAATCGGTGCTGAGGACACTATGTGTGTGGATGGAGCGACGTGGGTCGGCGTCTCTCATGAGGGCGAGAATTGAAGCTTGCAGCAGAATCCAGCGTGGATGGCAAGAACCGCGCGGACGTCGTGGCTCATGGCGAAAATACATATCTACATGCATGACCACACCAAGCTAGCAGCAATGAAGCGACTGCCAGCTTTCAAGCAGCCATGGTTCAGAACAGCGCAGTTCATGGGGGTTGCCGCTTACTAGTAATGGGCGGCTCCCCTGGGCAGGCCAGTTTTGGTCTAAGATGCTGGGTACCCCGGGCTGCATGGGCGGTCGTTGGAGATGGGAAACTAAGGTTGGAGCTGAACTGATTTTGGGGACCACCCGACATTGCTGGACAAAACTCTACGAGATACGTTTGCTCACTAGTAGATTCATTCAAATGGGACTACAAATGATGTTACGCAATGGAGTCGAAATGTACCAGGGATCCATATCCACCTCACATCCACCAGGGACCAATCCGAATTTGATATGCGAATGCTTAACTGAGCTCATCTCACAAAATACGATCAGAAGACTACAAGAGGCTACGCTCACAAATGGAAAGACGTACAGGCAAGGATAAATATGTGCTTTCCAAACCTCCAGGAAAAGGAGGCAAATATTCTGGACGTTCAGGAATCGTCGCTTCCTTTGGCAGCAATATGGTCCAGGAAAACCCACACCAACACATTTGCATTGTGTTCATCATTCACTTTTACAGAGCAACACACTCCATTTAGTACGCACAAACCGGCTATGAAGAACATTTCTTTCTCAAATTACAGCATGTCCAATGCACCGTAGCACTGGGCCTGTCCAGAGGAATCATCAAGTTCGATGTAGAGCTTGAGATCTCAAGCCATCAAGTGATGGCCACCTTGGTGGCGACGTGCAAATGAGCAGTGTGGCGATTGAGAACTGCGAGTTGTTGGTGGGCGGTCACCATATTCGTGTCACGTTTTCACCGGCGCCACGGGTTGCTGAGCTTTGCGTTGGTGGTGGGCTAAGTCGCCAGCTTGAAGTGGCGACATGGGAAAAATTGAACTTTTTGTGGTGTGCACATGGTCACGTCGTCACAGGCAAGAGTTGTCAGCCGCCTGGGTGCAGAGAGGCAAGGCGACGGTGGCGCAGGGAAAGGCCGGACGGTTGCATTCAATGGCGGTGCTGAAGTTGGCATTCGACTGAAGTCGACCAGGCTGTGGGTCGACAATTTGTGCAAACTAAGTTTGTAAGCCGTTATCTGGTCCCCAGTCTCTGATCTCTGTGTGGGGCGAACAACGTTCTGCCCCTTCAACATCGACCTCGTGCACGCATAACTCTTGTACAGCCACCTCGCGGCCAAGACGCCGTCCGCGTCCGCGTCGCCGTCCTCATGCACCACTTCATTCTCAGGACGGCGTCCAGAGCTCGCAGGACCCCGTCCTGCGCGCTCCGGACCCGGTCCTGGGTCCTCCGGACGGCGTCCTTGGTCCCATTAGTCATTGTTGGCATCCGCCACAGGACTCCGTCCGGGACCCTTTAGGGCCCCCCCAGGACCGGTCCGGTTATGGCCAAAAACCGTCCGGGACCCTGCGTCCAGGACCCCGTCCCGGACGCAGTTCTGGACGCCAGGATCCGGTCCTGAAAATACCCCGTTCTACCCGGAATACCGTATATATACGTATATATAGGTATTATATAATACCTAGAGGGGTATCCGACCAGCCCAGCTGACCCAACATGAGTGGGAGAAAGTTCGAGGCACTCCCTGCAATTACTATGCCCAGATTTCCAGGCCTGTGGGGGTCTGGCAGCAGAAGCACCTGCACAAATCACGACAGCATTGGCTATATTAAGATGTCTTTGTTTCCTTCGTTCTCGCCGTTAACAGTGCTGTGGAATTTTGGTGATCAAAAGGAGAAGGCACAGTGCTAAATGGCAGCCCTGTAGCATCATTCGGCCCCAACCCAACCCAAAACGCAGTTCGGCTCCAAGGTGGGGAGGTCACATAGTATGGCATCTCTTCCACAGCAGTGTACACTGGTGTCACATGTGTCACAATCACTAGCACAAGCAAAACTGGGGCCAAACTGGGGTGACCGTTTACTGCTGCACATGGTACTCTGTCGAAATTCCATTTATTACATTTGTCACAGAGCAAATGACAAACCAGACCCTTGCACCTTATAGGCGATGACGGGCCACATGCAGCCCAGATTCATTGTTTGTCCCTTGTTCGGAGCATGAGTTCAGCAGTCCCGCACACCCACTCGCCCACAGAACAGGACCAGCAGCAAGCGGAACGAAAGAAAAGATAGGAAAAGAGATGATCCGCCCCTAAAAATACCTAAAGAAAGCCACCAGATGAGATGAGGTGAGTGGAAAAAGCCCGAGGACATGAAAGTGGTACTCTGTGTTGTATACCGTTCTCAATGCACTGGATATCTGCATCTACATTCACCAAATGCTGAAGAAAACCGATCAATAACATTTCCGACAAAGGGTATTGCCGATCATTTGCCACGTTTCCCCTTCAGTTAGAGCAGCTCACAACACGAGCAGCAGTGGCGCACCCCACATTGGACACTTCTCTCGTGAGACAAGCGTCCAATGTGAGATCCAGAGGTGTCCAATGTGTCCTTCTCAATCGAGATCGCCACCCCTACGCGCAGCGAGGAAGACGCCGCAACAACGACATGCAATCCCGGCATCCTCTGTGCCCTGCCGATAACTCCGATCGCCCCATCGCCCGCAGCGTCGGGCGCAGAATCAAAACCCCAAGTAAGGCCACATTCTCCTGCCGTGCCCTTTGCTTCTGCACACATGTGTCCACACCGAAATACCCGAACGGAAGGCCAGAGATCAGCGGTCAGGCCCAGTGTTCGCAGGGGCCTTGCCCGCTAATGTCGCGAACAGGCGGCAGCCGTGCCCGCAAGCTTTGCCGTGTGCGGCCCAAGCCGCGTTTGTGCGGCGAACTCTCGTTAGGGTTTAAGATGTGCCTGCGGGCGCACCGTAGGAAGACGGATGCCATGAAGTGGAAGATGGTTGTGTGCTCCTTCGAAAAGGGGCAAGAGTCAGTTGGGCGACAAGCAGGCGCCGGCATCAATTGCGTCGTCATGAAAAATTACTTCACAACAAGGCTGGAATGACAAGTACATGGCAAGGATGGAATCGATTCTTGTCACAGCATTGTCTCGCCGATAGTTTGATTGCATGCATTGGGAATCTATTGTAGGGCATAAAGCCACCACGAATAGGCCATGGCCATTTGTCAACAGTCGCAAAAATTGTGCCAGGATGGGAGTGCAGGAGATTATTCTAGAACACGCTCTCACATTAATGTGGCGACTCTGTGCATTTTGCACAAACTTACTTCTGCATGCGGCGTATAGCAAAAAGCCGTGCGTAGTATTGTTAAGACAGTGAGCACTCCATGTACTGCCACTATAGGCGAGTGCTAACACAACTGCGGGGGAAATGTTTTCTCTTGGCAGGAATAAACGCACGAGGCACTTTTAAAGTTTGAACTTTGAATAAAACAAACTGAAAACGCCCCAATGCCGCAAAAAGAACATCGCCCCGTACCGTCCACATCCGAGCGATTTCGAACCACCCGCTTTGGCACTTGCCTCAATGCTGGTTTGCATATAAATTTTGCATATAGTGCTGGTTTGCATATAAATTGTTTAACTTCTTTTAATTATTTAACTATTTCTAATTTTTAGCGCGGGCTTCCCTGCCTATTCTTTTGATCTGTTTGGAATTTTGAATCTTTGGAATCAACAGAACAGCCATCTGCAGTGCTCTCTTTTCCACCTTGCGAGGCGCGGGCACCACACATTCGGAATTCGTGAATTCCACAGGTGATCACATGCGCAGGGGGCGACGCCCCACCACAGGTCCCCGGGCCCCTGCAAGCCCAGAACCGTATCGCGCCCAAAACTACTGGGTGCCGTCCATGCAAATTTTGGCGCACTTCGGGGTGTTTACACTTCCTACGCACTACTCTATACTTTGCTGCCATTTGTCTTAATGTCTTTCATCTTGGCTGGTTGTTTTTCACCTTAATTTCAGGAAGTTGGCCAGTTTTGTTGTGCCGTATTTAGCACTTAGAACAGGCCCTGTTGAAAGAACCGCCTCATCATACGCAGAATAACGGGCGAATCCTGACAATCCTCGCGAAGCTTGCACAGCGCAAATGAAGTGCCATCGCAGCATAGATGAAATCGCCCACGGTTAATTATGCTGACAAAGGCGGGCCGGGTCGAGGCCCTGGGCCCTCGGGCCCACAAGCTCAAATACACGGCAACGGCAACGGCAACAGCAACGAGCAAAGGGACAACAGCAATTCTGTCCCTTATACCCAGTCCCGTCATCAATCTCCCTGCTGCAATTCCTAATGCCTCATCACCTCTTCATCCGTCCAGCTGTTGATAATACTCGACCAGCTCTAGTTGCAACAATGCTAGTACACCAACAGCCCGTGATGCCCAAACCGTATCGCGGCATCGCAACGCGCACCGTAAAGTATCGTGCCATATCGCACCCCGCGGTACCACACAGCGCACGAGTGCCGCCCCACAGCTTCCCCCCACCCGGGGCACACTGAGCAGTACTCAGTGTGACGGCGCCCGGAAGAGTGACTTTCCCGGTCAGCCAAATTCGCCGTAAAGTACTAGCCACCCGCGTCCGACATGCCGCGCACCCCGGTGCTTGCGCCAGGCGCCGCGTCTCAGTCATAGCCCTTACGGGTCGCGCTGCTGGGCGACTGGAGAAGCCCCTGGGTGGCCGTGGCGCAGCACTCCAGGGCTGCACGTACAAAAACACGCAGCGGCGGAGGTTGTCAAGGGTGGAAAAGTGCGGAAGGGTTGAGTGGATTGCGCTGATCGGGTTGTGAGGAGGGGCTGCGCGGGATCCAAGGCCTTTGAGGGGGGCGGTTTTGAGGCATCAGTGCGGGAGGATTCGACCCATCGGGGGATGCACCGGCCAGTGGGGCCGCCTGAAGCCGACAGCGACCCCGCGGGCGAGCGGGGGGAGGGCCCGGAGGAGAAGGAGAGGGCGAGCGGGATTGAGATGCCGGGACGCGGGGGAGCGGCGGGGCATGATGCGCCATCGCCATCGCAAGATTCGGCGGCCGTCGGGCAGGTCCAGGTGCAGGCCCTGCCGCTGTTCAAGCAGAATTTTCTGGCGTCGAGGGGCGCGAGGGCGGTGAGCTACCGGGACCCGGAGATCGGCGGCGGAGAGGGAAGGGGGGTGCCGCCGCGGCTGCCGGGCATCCCGAGCAGATCGCGGGATGGCGGGCAGCGGCAGGAGTCGCTGCTGCCACTGGAGCTCAGCTCAGTGTCCCGGAGGCTGGATGGTCCACCCACGGAGACCGAGGCGCGGCGGCGGCGGCTGAAGCACTACGAGCTGCAGTGCACACACACGTTCGAGCACATGCACATCGGCGGCCACATGGTGGCCAAGAGCAGGGAGATCCTGCGGGGGGCGGGCATCACGCACGTGATCAACTGCGTGCGGTTCGAGTACGATAACTACTTCCAGGACGAGATGAAGTACCTGGGGCTGTACCTGCAAGGTGGGGTGAGGGCTGGGGTTGGGGGGCGGAAGGGGAGGGGATCCGCGTCAGCGATCGAGATGGCTGGCCGCGCTCCTGCCGAATCTTTGCGGGCCGCCGCCTTTTTGCGCGGGCACGATACGCGCGCGGCGGGATTGGCCGATCCGTCCCCAGTTTCTCGAGGCTCGAGACGCGTGGCTGGGCGATGGCATCCCCCGGGGGTCTTTCTATGCTCCTGCAGGTTGAAGCCAGCAAGCCCCGGGAAGCGGTATCGTGGGTGTGCGGCCGGAATTGTGCCGCTCCAGTCCCACAGCCTGTCACCACGGGCCGCGTGATGGCGTACGCCCGCTGTGCAGGCTTTTGTGGGCTTTGGATTGTGCAGTGGTAGGAGGCCATCAATTTGGGTTTGGAGTGGACAGCGAGCGGTCCTGTGGGTGCCCGGCCGAAATTGTTGCTGTCCAGTCCCGCGGCCCTTCAGCACTGGCGGCCTGATGGCCGCTCCCTGCTGTGCAGGCATATGTAGGCTTGATTGTGCAGCTCTGGGGGCCATTAATCTGCCTTTTGGGAGCAGACAGCGTGTTTTTGTGGCTAATCGGCATAAGCCCAGCCGTGGCCTGGTGGTCCCATTTTAGCGCCAGGCCTTCCCCTGTTGTATTGCTGGATGCATGTCTGCTGGAAAGTGGTGAGGTGGGGGGTGGCTCAGCTCACTTGCCTGATGTCCATACTGTGTGACTGCTGCCAGATTGGGGCCAAGAGGATATCTACTGTGTGTTCTACGATGCCTTCGACTTTATTGAGGTGAGGTCACAGGCTGCAGCACATGCATCCATGTGAGTTCCATCCAAGTGCATGTCCGACTCCTGAGTGGGCTGTCAACAACGGACTCAAAATTGTGAAAGGTGCCATGGAATGGGCACACAGTCCAAAAAAAAGGCGCCTGGGACGTTTGTGCCACCAAACATTACCCCAGCTGCATCAGCTATCATCACCAGACATCAAGTTGCCAAGAGAGGCTGCTGTCCTTAATTGTCCTCGTCAAGGGGGGGTTGCGCAGGCTGGGTGCTGTTCGGCTCATCAGGAAGTTATTCCTCTTGAAACGGCAGACACAACTGCACAAGTTGGGTACTGCTCAGCCCATCAGGAAGTTAGACCTCTTGAAGTGGCAGACACAACTGCAGACACGTTTGCCACATGTTGGGAAAGGTCCTGTCCAAATGACCAGTGGCAACCAGAAGGGCAGCTCTGGTTGTGCTGAACTGGAAGTCATCTCTGAGCCTGTGAAGCAGCCCTGCAGTTTGAGTGCGGAGTTTGGATACAGAGACTGCGGCACCAACATATAGTCTTGCAGCTTTGGGCAGAGATCTTGCATCACTGACAGCCACATTGCACTGGCGTTGACGGCATTAGGACAAAGGGTGCCACCTTTTGTCTGGTACATTTTGGTTGGCTGCCTTGTTTGCATCTGCATTGCACTCAACAGATGTATGCCAAGAGCTGGGGCCTGTTGGTGAAATTCTCAAAAGATGTGCTCCCACCTGGACCTAAATGGCGCATTCTGGACAGTTCAGCTTGCTACTTTTTCCTTCATCTGAATGGCATGTGGGCCAATTGACAGTGTCAATCACTTGTTGGGATATGGAGTTGGGCATTGCATCCTGCATCGAGTCGAAAGTCCTTTGTCGCATTGCCTGCATTGGATTTGCTTGCACAGCATGGCCTTGGTCTATGGCATGTATTTAGTGAATTTGTGTGTTCAACCCCAAAACACCACTCTTATAACTTCCAGGCCATGTTGGGCAACATGTTGCCATGCTCTTTGTTGCACTTTACAATGACAGTAATGAGTTGGCATGCCATGCCATGCAAACAGGAAGACTTGGTAACACTTGAACCCGTGCTCCTTGTCCTTCCCTACCCCTTCCCAACCCCCCAATGCTTTATCAGCCCCATCCGCCCAACTAACACATGAGATTCACTGCAAACAGAAACTAGCCACCTGTTCCATTGGGCGGCAATGGAGCAGGGAGTGCCAACAGATAAATGGGCAAGACAGTGGATTAGAATGTGCAGCGTGTTGCCTTGGTGTTGGTCTTCATGGCATCTTCAGGAACATTGCATTGTTTTTAGGGCGTTGTTTGTACTGTTGGGTGTTGTCTGTGTGGTTTTGCCAAGTTTTTGTTTCGCATTGCAAGCGGTCATGGCAACAGGATGGCCCAGTGCATACTCAGTCGATTGCTTGCTTGATTGATAGCAATTGCAATGTATTGTTATTCATCGTTTCTTTTTGGCTGAGTAACTGTGGGTGTATGTTACAGCAAATTGGGCAAGAACGCAGGTATTCCGTAACAATTGCGCAACAATCGCGATTGTCTGTGATCAGCTTCAAGGTCCAGTGCTCTTGTTGCTTGTTGCAGCCATACTGCAAATGTGGTCAGTGCAATTTGATGATTGTCAGAGTTGCCACGATGAACGGCAAAGCTCTCCACTTTGCAGGACGTGACAGGCACGAAAAGACCGGTACAATGAGCAGCAGTGCATTTGGCCAGTAACTCACCATGCTTTCCTGCGCCACAGGCCGCACGGGAGGGAGGAGGAAAGGTGTTCATTCACTGTTCCCAGGGAGTATCGCGGAGTGCTGCAATCACGATCGCTTACATAATGTGGCGAACTGACAGGCACGTGGAGGTGGTGCTGGACCAGATGAAGGTAGGGAACAGCATCCGAGAGGTGCAGCTTGCCTACACAGCAGCTCGATACGTTTGATCACAAATGCCTAAACTTGGCTGTTCACAGTCCCTGGCGCCTGGCCCCTAGAAGGTGCTGTTGGACAATTCAGAATTCCTGCATGTCGAAATACTTGCAGTGCGCAAATTTTATGCCATCGTTGTTTTCCTTGGCAGTGGTAGTTTGGTGCTTTGGTTTGGATTTAGGGCACACGGACTAGAAGAAGACTTAAGATGTCAACAAAGACTGCAGCAGAATTGATGCCTCCCTGCATAGCCAGTCCAGTAATGGTGCACTGTTTACGATCTTGGGCATTTGCTGAGCACGGATTGGGACATTTTGTAGGCACCAGCACCTACAATGTGCAGTGACTTGGTTCGTCTTTGATTGTTTGACTAGCGCACTTTATCGAATTGTGCGCTAGTGCAGTATTGTATGTTCAAGAGTGGGGAAGCAGGTAATGTTGCACCCTGTGATCTTTGCATTGCACGTTGCTTTGGCAAGTTGGTAGGATTCACTGGCTAACTAATGTTTCTGCAAATTGTTGACTGTTGAGATTTGGGGTGGCATCAGCACTTGCAGATCGGTATGTTCAGACTGTAAGATATTCAACCCTTCCACATCAGAAAATTTTACATTATGCTTTTTGCTCTGCATTTTGTGTTTCAGAACGTTATTTCTTTTTGTCTCACGTTGGTCCGCACAGAAAGGCCAAGATTTGTGTTACTATTTAGATTATTTTCTCAGCAAAAATGACCAAGCATTACGTTACTATGCGGAAGGGTTTAATATTTAACAGTAAGTAATTGCTGGGAAAGATTGCCATTGTGAAGCAATGATGTGTGGCTTGTTGTGTTGTTCATTTGCAGCAAGTGAGAGCAGTGGTGGAGCCAAACATCGGGTTCTATTTTCAGGTGTGTGGCAGTTGTGTTGTGAGCTAATGTGCTGAACAACCACTGGGAGCTTGAGCAATATTCATGCACGTGCAGACTAATTGTGCAGAAGAGATATTGGGTGGTCATGTCTTGCTGTGCACATGGAACGTGCCTTACCACCTTGATACATATATCCATTTTGTCCTTGGTTGCACAGTGAATGGCCTTCTGCTGCACTTGCATCAATCTGTGACGTTTTCTTCTGACAGATAAAGGTGGCGGCAAACACAGATTCTGGCAACCTTTGCCACTGGCCACCATTGCATCTTTTGCCATAAACAAGTAACTATGCTCGCCACCCAAGAGTATTTGATACCCATTAATTGGTGCTTTATCTGCAATGCTTTGTAGGACTTTGAATCTTTTTGTGGCTGTCGCATTGCATCACTTGTATGCCCTGTGATGTGGCTATGAACGTTGAATTTGTTTGTTCTGTTGTATTTTCTTTCTTATTCGGAGTTCTAGAAATTTCGATGCAACATAGCATGGGAGGAAACTGATCAGGAAGAGCATCTATATATTTGTCTGTACTCCATTTGCTGCCAGTTTCGCATCTCAATTGCTGTTACTGAATACGGTCAGAATGCATTGTAATTTAGTTAATCTGTATTGCAGTGTGCTGTTACCAGTTCGCTGTTGCTAGTCATGGAACAGCAGTCACCCTGTGATTAGACCCTATTTGTTGGTGCTGAATGCGAGAGATGTGGCTATGAACGTTGAATTTGTTTGTTCTGTTGTATTTTCTTTCTTATTCGGAGTTCTAGAAATTTCGATGCAACATAGCATGGGAGGAAACTGATCAGGAAGAGCATCTATATATTTGTCTGTACTCCATTTGCTGCCAGTTTCGCATCTCAATTGCTGTTACTGAATACGGTCAGAATGCATTGTAATTTAGTTAATCTGTATTGCAGTGTGCTGTTACCAGTTCGCTGTTGCTAGTCATGGAACAGCAGTCACCCTGTGATTAGACCCTATTTGTTGGTGCTGAATGCGAGAGATGAAGTTCGCGACTTAATAGAGGACAGGTGCTTGGTAATGCATGTCAATAATTGGGGACATTGCTCTTGATGGCTGCTGTGGGGAACTCGTTTCGACAATTGATTCAACCCCCTTTTTCAGCACTGTAAGCTGAGCCATTCATACACCAAACAGTCAGGCATGTGGTGGGTCAGGCCCAGGATGGAAGTTCTGTTTTTCATGTTCTGATTTTGTTACCATGTTTTGATTTTCATGTTCTGATTCTGTCTTGTGCACGATCAGCTTATTGCATGGGACAAGAGGCGAAAGACGATAATGGACAAGTGTAACATATACAGGGCAGCGCCATTGTCGAAGTTGATGTCAAGTATTGTGGTGAGTGTGTGTGTGTGTGTGTGTGTGCTGTATCTATCGATTTTGGATGCCAAGTTTCCACACCCACATTTTGTATCTCATGTGGTTATTCGTATCACTTGCAATATCAGTGCTGGAAGTGCAATAGTACTTGCATGTCTCCAATTTGTCAGTTGCGGATCCAAATATAGGTCCAGAGCTCCAATCTCCACAAGAGTCCATATCTCTGAGTAAGCTCAACAGCCTGGGGTAACTGTGAGCATGCGCAGCGATGCGTTGACCAGAGGGCAGGTGCTGAGTTGCTTTCCAGTTCTTCACCAGCTACAGTCAAGGCATACAGTGCTGTGCTTCTAAATCGTGCTGTTTCAAATTGGACATAAATCTGTTCGGTAAGCTTCTTCAACCAGCTTTGGCCTCTCAGACTTTCACGTTGCAAATAAATCCAGCACTGAAATTGCAGGCGATGCTCTTTGCTTTGTGTGCTCTCTGCGCCACAGCAGCAACTGGACTCTGTGGATTGCAGCTTGTCAGTTCTTTACTGATCCACTTTCTATGCCAGCTTTTGTCCAGCCAAAGTTTGGGTATGGCACTTGGTACCAGTGCTCAAGTTGCAGGCAGTGCTCTGTGCCCACTTCACTGCGCACTGACAGCTTGGCAAAGCTGAATGCAGTTTCTCTACTGCTGATTACGAATCCAAGCCCGTGAAGTCGATCATGGACTCTGTTGCCTTCGGCAGAATAGCAGCAGCGTTCTCTTACCTTAGTCGCAGAACACTGCAACGGGTTTCCTTATTTGATTTGTAAGAGGCCAGCACAATGCTGTGTCCTCATTCTGAGCTGGAAACTGCCTGTTAACATCATTCAGGGCAGTCATATTCCAGACAGTATGTCATGACACCTGTATCTCCTCATGCCACTTGCATCGCTTTACCACTCCTGGCCTTGCATGGGAGTGGTAAGCATGGTTTCTTAGAATCCTATTTTGTCGCATTTGGCCCACTAATGAGGTAGTTCCCTTCCACCCTGAAGGCCACGATGGGCACTTGATGCGTCCACGTTGTTGAGAGCAAACACCACAACACACAAACAGCATTTTGGGGCTGACAGGCCCCTGGCATCACCTTTGCACAATAGGCGGGCTATCCCACCCTGCAAGGGCTCCTCATACCACTTGCATCGCTTTACCACTCCTGGCCTTGCATGGGAACGGTAAGACGGCTTCTTAGAATCCTATTTTGTCACATTTGGCTCGCTAATGAAGCAGTTCCCTTTCACCCCGAAGGCCTCGATGGGCACTTGATGCGTCGACGATGTTGAGAGCAAACACCACAATACGCAAACAGCATTTGGGGGCTGACAGGCCCCTGACATCACCTTTGCACCATAGGCGGGCTATCCCACCCTGCAAGGGCAGACACAGGCAGCAAACCTCCAGAACAATGGACGCGGCTCACGGCTGCTTGTGGTTTGCAGGTTGCCAAAAACATTCCCAAGACAGGCGATCCGAACGAGCAACACTGCCTGGACCCCCGTGGTGCGTTCATTGTGCACTGCCCACAGCGGCTCTACGTCTGGATCGGCGACCAGTGCCCAGAGGCCTTCCTGAGGGCCGCCAGGAAGTTCGCGCTGCAGTTGGGCAAATACGAGAATGCGCCAAAGGCGACTGAAGTCCGACAAGGTGTGCTGGAAGTCCACTTTATTGTCCACGAAGCCGTGGCTGCTTTCATGGCATCGTTGTGTGCCTCGATTGCTCTGTTGAGCACCTGCTTTTCAAGCCTGAACAAGTTCCAAGAATGACACAGCCCTCTACATTTTAGGCGGGAGCTGCTTATTTCGGTGGAATCCCTGGCATGTGGTCCACATTGAGTGAGGTGCCTGTAAGCAACTGGCAGATGGACGCTGTATGTTCATCAGAGTCAGCAGGTGTATGTTGTAGTGCAGTTTGGATAATCAGAACAAAGAAGCATTTGAAATTTACTTTGACTTCTGATCTACCAGGAATCCCCAGTGTTGGCCAGAGTGTTGGCCAGTGTTCGAGACAAGAGTGTTGGCCAGTGTTCGAGAATGTTGGAATGTCCTTCTTTGACAATGGGCGTTCGTTTATTTTTGTCAGTTATAATTATGTGTATGATATGTGAATTTCTTTGTTTTGGTACCAAAAAAAAACTTCTGGGCTTTTCATCGCCTTGTGCCTTCCTGTGAGGTGGCACAATGGCCATATCTTTCTCTAAGGGCGGGGCTGGCATTTGGCCTCTTAGGTGTGAAGTAGCATATTGGAAAAGAGGTGCCATGAGCAATGTGCCAGGTTTACATTGTCTATGAGGCTGTTTTCAATTGCCTACCTGCAGGGCACTTGTGCAGCTGTTCCATATCTGTCAGTGAGGAAAACACATGCATGCATGCCTGAGAGGCATACACAGACTACCATTGCCTTTTCTTTGCATTTATCTTTGTGGGTTCAGCCCGGGGGGGGACCTACCCCTGATGTGACAGTTGATGGACAGGTGGCAGTTGCTGATCGGATCTTGGCAACAAGCGTTACAGTAGGGACTGCGATGTAGTGTTTGTCGAAATTAGCAGTCTAGGTGAACGAAATACAGGAATCTGGCTTCTGTCAGCTAAAGCCCAAGCAAACTTGTCCTGCTCTCCACTGATCATCCCACTGGAATTTGCGTTCATTGATGCTGTTTCCGCTTTGTGCTCTCAGCGGCCTTTGTGGACATGTGCCTTGTGGCTGAGCAGACCTTGCAACAGGCGTCCGCACAGACTGGCTGCAGTGCACTATGTCATTCGGCCAAAAAATTGAAAGAGCAAATGAAACAAGAACAGATAGTCTGAAGCCAAATGCCTTTGGACAAACTGTTCTGCACGCTTTCCAAGGCTCAAGTCTTCACGTTCCAGATGTGTCCAGCAGGGAAAGGTTGTGTGCTGATGCCTGGTGCCGCTTTGCCAATTTTGCAGGCGAGGAGGACAGCGAGCTCGCATCCGCACTCGGTTTCCCACCGAACGACGCTTCAGGGCTGGTTCGGCAGCGTGACGAGTTCACACCGGAGTTTGAGCGCTACCACAGGGCGCTAGCTCCCAAGCTGGCGTCCGGCGACGAGCCCCCGTTGCCGCCGATGGCCGGCGTGCGGCGCAACATTGGCAGGCGGGCACAGTCGGACGTGCTCAGCCTGCTGGGAGAGGATCGGCACGGTGGGTCCAGTGGCCTTGGGAGGGCTTAGGGGTGCTGTGGTTGCAGCGGTTATTGATTGTGAATGTACACATTGCCTGTGCATCAAGCATATGTGGCGATCAAGCTGGAAGCGTGGATATTGTGCCTGTGCGGCCTGCACACAGTTGGTGCTTCTTGAGTGCGCTTGTGCAGGGTGCCTGTGCATTGAGGATGTGCAGATCCCTGTAGTCTTGGCCATGCATGCTGTGCTTATGCATATTGCAGATAATTGATGCTTTGGGTTGAGTGTCCTCATGCATAGTGCCTGAAGTTGCCCAGTTTCTTGGACCTTGTAATGTGTGCCTGTACATTATGCACGTGCCTTGAGTTCCCTTGGTTGTTAATGTCTGCTGCTCTCCTTTGTTTTATCGTCAGGCCGGCAGCCCCCTCCTGGTCCCAGCGTGTTTGGCGTGCCACCGTGAAGCACCCCTACACAACCACTGCTGCAAATGGCGGGTGGTTTGATGGCCGGAGTTCGCTGGATCGGCGGGCCCAGGGCTGGCGGCCGATCTGTGTTGACTTGCGCAGCATCTGCCGTCGCCAAACTGCAGCCTCCAGTGGCCACCCCGTGGCCTGCTGTGGCCTGTGCATAAGGGCAGCCCATCTGGGCCCCCGCTGCGTGGCGATGTCGATGCAAGCAGGTGACCTCTGGGCAAATTTCTGCAGGGCGCCTAAATTCATGTGGCTTGGGGCTGTCGCCCTGGCAAGCCAGGCTGTGCGCTCATGCGCCATCTCTCGACTCGTCTGCAAGGGGGTCGGGAATGCGCGCTGGAGTGGAGCCGTGGACGTGAGCAAGTTGGGGAGGAGGGGGGCGAGGATGAGGGCAAGTTGGCGAGGGTGCATAATGTGCGGAGGGCATGGGCAGCGCTGTTGAGCGCTGAACAACCGGCGTGACTATTTGAGTAGGGATGCGGGGCGCCGGCGACGAACTCGTCGCAAAGGCGCGGCGCCGCGGGGCTGGTGAGCATTGGGCGGTTGGGGTGCAGGAGGCCATTGTTGGGGGCCCAAGTGACCAGATTTGTACACTATGTTTTGGTGAGGCCAATAACGAGGGAGCCATGGGCGTTGATTGCGGAACGGATGGACGGCACACGCGCGGCTGGCGCCGGTGGGCTTTGGTGGCGATGGGCGGGTGGGAGTGGGCCGCTGGAGCGGAGGGAGTGGCACTGTAGCTACGGTAGTGTAGTGGACAGCCGGGCGCTTCTGTAAGCTGCCAGTTGGAATGGCCGCAAGTTGGCCACGGTCAACGCAGGGTGGGGGGCCACACTGCCTCGCAGCACCTCCCACAGCCGAAACGAGGCCTTGCACCGCCGGAAAAGGTGCACGGATGACGAATCTGCCCAAAACTGTACCGGTCATGCGCGTCCTACCTGGAACACGCCCGACCGGGCTGAACTCGACGGCGTCAGATGCACTCACAAATCTTACAGTATGTGAAGAACGGTCTGTTACGCTCACGAACTGCTAGCGGTGTTTTTCACTGTGGAGGCATGGCAGCGCCACCGCTGGGCTCAATGCCCGTTGAGTGCACTCAAAAATCTAACAGTATGTGAAGAACGGTCTGTTACGCTCACGCACTAGCAGTGCATTTCATCGTGGAGGCGTGGCAGCACCACTGCTGGGCTCAATGCCCGTTGAGTGCATTGGAAGACGGGTAAAAGGCTGGGCAAAAAGCTCGTGAAAGCAGGAGCTTGTTTCCATTTAAGCCCGGCTGCATGGTGCACACGAGGAGCATCAGCAACCAGCTCAGTCCACTCAAGCGCGAGAAATTTGCATCAGAACTGACAAGTCCCCATCCAATTTGCAGGAGGCCATGCCAGTTCCAACGGATTCTGAGGCGATCCCGGCGACATGGGGTGCTGGCCCAGGAATGGTGGCTTCCGCGTCAACTGCCGGAAGTCGGTATTGGGTCCACTGCGCCTTCCGATTGGCCCATGGAGAGTCGTGGAAGGGCCCCTGTGCGCTCACCACAGCCGCGGGTGCGGCACCCTGTGACCTTTCCCTCTGGCACGACACCATCAAAGATTTCACAGCCGTGGTGTGGAACCCCGAAATCCACAGTGACTACGACTGCCCAGCCGATGCTGTAACGCCCAAACTTAGTAGTCTACGGGATGCATCGTATCTCCAGAGACATGAACCCGTATACTGCTGTCGGCCGATGCCGTAACACACAAACTTGGTAGTCTACGGGATGCATCGTATCTCCAGAGACACGAAACCGTATACTGCTTTCGGCTGATGCCGTAACACACAAACTTAGTAGTCTACGGGATGCACCGTATCTCCAGAAACACGAAACCGCATACTGCTGTCGGCGAGTCCATACAAGCACTCCATCATGCAAGGGACACCCATAACTGTCTCATGTGTGGTATATAAGGTACAAGAGGCGCAACGTACAGTTGTCGGGGCAGCGTCCCTGAATGTGAACGCAGGACAACTTTCCACCACCTGAAACCCAAGCCTACTCAATCCATCCCAGTCCATTTCCCTGTCAAATCTGATGGCAACTTTAAAGCTGATTGTGAACATGGCACTGCGTGCTCTCCTTTTGTCACCGCAGTGCTCCACTGCCCACCATCCCGATCAATCAGGCTTGATATTTATGGTGTGACACGGCCTGTTGTTTTTCAGCACCAGTCTTGTGTTTAGGTTTTCACAAGTGTTCGAATTACCAGTAATTGACCACTGATCTGCCTCCGTCAATTACTGATTTGTAACCCGATGAATAAATGGTGGCATATGAGAATCCCGTTTCGAGGAATGCCATCAACAATATCTTTGGATGGCTGTCATTTTTCTCGATGTTTCACATGCAACTGTCCAGTTCTCATAACTGGAGGTCAGTGGCTGAACACTGATGTGCAGTGAAACTCAACGAGAGAAGTGAATGCATATTGAAAAGCCATTTCAAGAGATGAAAATCTGACACACCAAGACGGCCGCAGCTGCCATTTTGTGCAAGCACCTGTTCAAGTGCTGGTTGACTGGTGCACACATTAACCTGATTGAGATGGCGGGAGAACGGCTGGCCAGCAATCAGCTTCAATCTTACTAATTTTGGGGATCATGAGTTGGCACTGTGGGGTGGAGCTGTGGGTTGGTGCCGTGGGTCGATGCCAGGGGTCGGTGCTGTGCAATAGCGTGTTGTGCGTGTGTGAGGTGTGAGTTCAATCCGGCGCTCTGAGTGTGAGTGCTGGTGGGCAAAAGAAGAGGCGCATTCTGGCATTTAAAGAGAGCCCGAGACTGTTCGTGGCTTCTCTTGATTTGGTTGTAAGACAAGTTGAGCCTTGGCTGCTTGTCCGACCATGCACGGCGAGTGCGTTCGAGCACCGCGTGCACCAAGGTTGCCACAGAGGTCGAACCAAGTCGGTTTGACCTGTGCCGCGTTGTGGCCCATCGCTATGCGCATTCGACTGCGGCGAGCGGGATCTCGAACCGGGATGGCTATAAGGAACTTTGACACACAAGTAAAACGCGTTAACACAGGAACGGCTATATTCACATATTCTGCGGCGCGTTGAGACAAGCAGATTACAAGATGCAGTTGCAAACAGCGGTCAATCCGGCCCCCAACGTGTGCACAGCGCCCACCTCGCCGTCGGCAAGGGCACCGACGTCGTCAAACACAAGGTCGTTTTGTGCCTACTCTAGCGTGTCTGGCTGCCACTGCCGGACTGCCTGAGTCTGCATGATTGCCTCTATGCACACAAGGCCTGTATGTGCGTATTTTTGCGCCTTTTCTGCGTAATTATGCAAATGTAAGGCCAATCCTGCTATCAATTGATTTAGGGACATGATCACGGCTGCGTGCTTGCCACCGCATGTCAGTGCACACTTCACACCTGGATCCCAAACACATTCCACTTGGAGCAGCCCGCCGCAATTCGTTAAGCCGGCTGCGGCAGGGAGCACCACACGCAAAGAAAATACTGGCGATTTGGTACAGTCTCTGCAACTTGAATTTGTCTCAAGTTGAGGTGTAAACTGTGCTAAAATGGCACCAAAATCGTGCTTTACCATATTATGGTAAAACATATTATGGTATTTAAACATGCAATGGTGTTATGTTTTGCTTAAAGCAGAACCAAAACAATTAAAATCGTGCTTTGGTGCCATGTTTCTCCGGTGACGAGAAATAGGGCATCCCACACCTCGACGCCTCACATTGCGCCAATCACAACTCGAGGAGGTGCCCGGACCACCGCAAGATGACACGCATGTTCCTAGCGCCTCACGAGTGAGGGGCACAATGTACACGTGAGGTATTATGTACATTATGCCTTGGAGGGCTCTGCAGCAGGGAGGTAGCCGCTGCCGGGCACACAGCCATCCGTTTGGGCCGCAACCACACCGCAGGAACGTGGTCCCATGGGGTGCCTCAAAATGGCGTGCCGTGCGCACCACTTTTCATCATCCGATGGATTACTGCAGAGATCCATGTACTATGATGCACATTGGCGTCTCGAACATTGCTGCAGTGCTTCGCCAGCAGTACATTGGTTGCCAGTATCAGCACAATGTGTAGCATCAGGCTCGTTGGAGCTCACCAGAAAATCTCTTTGGCTCGGCTCTCACCTCGTTGGGTCATTCTTGGAGCAGCCTCGACCCTTCTCACAACCGTGCGACTGCATGCAAGGGGGCCGACTGATCGGCGGACTGGATGCAACCTGGTTGCGCCGGACTTCCAGAGCCAGGCTGCAAGCGCGTCGTTTGAGGCAACAGATGCCCGAGGGTGGCCACGACTGCCGCCAAAGCCGCCCGCCTCTGTACAGCGGGGCACCCTCCCCGGCCTCCCCGGCGCTGCCCGCCAAATCCGCAGAAATGCGCGCGTTGCGCTTTTCCCCTTCCTGTCATGCGCCATCCGATGCATCCCGCCTCGCATCCTCAGGCAATCAGGCCGGCCCCGCAACACCCCTCCAGCACCCCCCAAGCGCCCAGCGGCCAGCCACGTGCCACCAGCCTCACCTACCACCCATACATATCCCCCGTCCCCACGAGCCGCCCAGGTACACCACAATACCCAGCACTTTTTCCCCCAGTTGACGGGCGGTACTCACGCCAGCAGCTGCCATGACCGCCCAAGGAAACATCGGTGCAACCTGGGGGACCGTGGGGTCCGAGGAATTACCTCACTGGTAGTGCGCGAACGCGGTGTCTTACGGGACTCAGGCCTGCGAACGGATCTTGGCCCAAAATGGGCGAGACGTGACCTTCGATCACCTCAGGCCCTTCGTCATGGCGGACCCCGTTCCCAGGGCCTGGCCTCCGCTCGGCTTCCGTGGTGATTGGCCTTGCGCATGAGGACATTTGGGCTCAGCGGGGCTTAGGCGACGAGGAATGGCAGCGCCGGGCGCCGGGTAGGCATGCCGGCGGCGGGCGGCGCCGCCGTCGGCGGGGCCCGGTGGTGGAGGCTGCTGGCGGGCCTGGCGGCCTTGGCGGCGATCTTGGGGACTGCCACAGGTGGGCGGGGGGCCAAGGGGCACACACAGTGGGCACCGCGGTGTCGTAGATCGAGCGCCAGGCGGAGTGCGCGGCCGGGGTGGACGCCGCCTCCCGGGGAACGTCGAATGATGTGGGGCAAGGGGAGGATGGCCTGTGCGGTTGTTGGAGCTGAGGGCCTCTTGGGCGGGCGCGCAGCGACGCTCCCCTCCCCCACGGTCGTTGTTACAGCGCCAACTAGCTCGCGCCACAGCCGACCACCCCGGTCCCAATCCACCGCGCGGCTCAGGAGGGCCGCGAGGGCGCCTCCGCCGCGCAGAACGACCGCAACCCCCTCCTTGGGCTCCCCCGTCCCAGGGTGGGCACCCCGCCCCACCGCGCGGGCAGCAGGTTGGGGGTGGGCGGGCGACTGCGCAGTTCTTGAGGGTTGGTTTGGGCGGCGTGGGTAGGGCGGGGATTGGATGGTGGGGAGCGGCGTGTGTGTGTGTGTGGGTGGGTGGGTCGTCCCGACCTCGGTGATTGCGCGCCTCCCCGGCCGAGTCGTGCGTTGGCGGGGAATGCCGCTTGCCCATCCCGGTGTGACATAAGGGTCCGCTGCGTCGGGCGGGGCGGCATCCGGGACCTCGAAGGCGCCAGCGGCGGTTTTGCGGATCCCAAGGGGGGTGTTGCGGTTGTCCTGCACGGCGTCAGCGCCCTCATGGCCCCTTTGAGCCGCGCGGTGAATTGGCGGCGGGGCGGTTGGCCGTGGGGCGAGCCTGGGGGTTGTGGGCCCGCGATTCGGGGTAGGGGGATTGGTGTTGGGCGCCTGCCCGGCCGCAGTGCCTTTGGAGTCATCCGGGGGCGTTGTTGCGGTTGCTCTGCCCGCTGTGAACGCCCTCACGCCCTTTTTGAGCCGCGCGGTGGGCTGCAGTCGGGGCGGTTGGCTGCTGCGCGAGCCTGGGTGCCCGCGAATTTGGGACGGGGGGCTGTCGTTGCGCCTCCGCTCAGCCAGTTTCCGAAAGCGGCTTGGAAACTTCCGGGGGTCCGCTGCCCTTGCGCCCCTTTGCATTGCCGGATTGCCGCCGTAACCGCCGCTTGCGGCGCGAGCCTGGGCGTTGGGTGGCCTGGGCCCGCGATCTGGGCACCAAGGATTGCCATTGGGGGCCTGTGTTGCCGACGTTCGTTTGGAGACGTGCCGGGGGCCGTCGCGGCTGCTCTGCCCAGCGCCGCTGCCCCCGCGCCCCTCGAATTTCCGCGCCCGGGATCGCCGCCAGCCCACCGGTTACTGCTTCCGTCCATGGGTGCCGGGCGCAGGAATTGGCCGCGGGGGAACGTTGTCGTGGCCCTGCGTGGCCGTTGTGCGTTTGGAAGGCGGGGGCCGCGGTCCCGCGAGTCCTGTCGGCGGTCGGAGTCGCGGTGCCGAAGACGGGCGCTGGCGCCCGACCGTCGGGCCGGTGTGATGGGGAAGGGTGGCAGGGGGTGGGGAGGGGAGCGCGGTGGTGGATGGGCATGGCAAAGCTCAACAGGGTCACATCGGGCTGTCAGGCTCGCTCTGGCGGACACCGGAATTGTCGGGGCTGACGTGGTGAGGTAGTAATGCAGGTCGCTGTGTGCGACAGCGTTTGCGCCCCAGCCGCGGCATGTGGTGATCTGGTGGGCGGCAAGCCCTGCCACTGGACTTCTGCTTCACTCTCGCTGAAGCAACTTGCAACTAAAACGGCTTTAGGAAAACGGTACAACAAAGTACAGTGGAGCACTTAATGTTGCACCTCGTTTCCTCGAAGGTCCACGTTCGGAGACTAGCTGTTCCCAAAAGCTGAGAACGAGGCGCCAAGCCATCGCAAGATACCATTTGTATCTTTTACAGGTGCCCAATCGCCATGCCTTCCAACCCGGTGTGCTTTGGGAATGACTTGGCGTTTGGGAGCTCAAGCGCTGGCCCTGTCCAAAGGGAAGAGTTGCAGGCGCTGTGCCAAGTCGGGGGGAAGGTGGATGTGTTGATGCCTACAAGATGATCTTGCAAATTGGTGCACAATCTCGAAAATAGCAGTGCATATTGCGCAATCTTAATGAAGAGAAGTTCGTTGGTACTGGCAGATTAGAGTCACTGCAAATCGCTGCGGCTCATTTGTCGCAATACGGTTGTTGTGGATGGAACCCTGCTGCTTGGCATACAGTTGCCCCACGGCGACTTGGAAGTGCATGGACAACGCCTGCCCACGTCCCAAGGTATAGGGAATGTATTCTCACCCTGAGGGTCCCCCAAACCCAGGGTGAATGGTCCACAGCAATGGCACCTGTCAGCTTAAGGCTGCCACATCTGGCCAAGGTGTGGCCAGATGTGTCCCTATTAGGTTGGAACCCACGACTAGGATCTGAACAAAAGGTTTTCCACGTGCAGGTTTTCAGATTTGTGGTTCGTGGTCTCCACATGGTGTGACTTTATGTTTTGTGTCACTTTCGCAGGGCAGTTTGTGGACTGCAATGAACTCCTTGAGGCCAACACACCCACGCCCCAGGTCGTGGTGACAAACGAGTCCCTAAAGGCTGCCAACGATGACCTACGGCTACTTATGAGTTGCGTCCAGGGGGGCACGCTGGTGCTGGACCTGCCTGAGGTCACCCCACCAGACACCCTTGTGATAGACAGCCCGATCGTGATCCGACCAGCTGCAGGCAGGCGAAAGAAAGTGAGGCTTAGGTGCCCACCAACTGAGGGCAGGGTGTTGGAGATCAGGTACAGCAGTTCAATGGACACTTGTGGCACACTGGGCACTTGCACCGCAGAAATGCACAGTCTGGTGCATGCGTTTTGCATACTGTTGTCTGCTGACTTGCATACTGTTGTCTGCTGACTGAAATTCAGATTGTTTATTACTGCCTCATTTTCGTGCGTGCTTTGCTCTTTATCATGTTAGGAGCTGGTGGAAAGATGTGTTATGGTCATTCAACTGACCATTGGCCATATCAGAGGCCAACAACCTTTGATTATGATGAATATGAGTAGCAAGTAATCAGCTTTGCAACCTCACCATTAACACCTTTTTCGGGACTGTCCTGAGGGCGCCTCCACCCCTTGGGTGATGATATTCCCAATGGTTAGAATGTCAGTTATATGTTAAGCAATGCCCTTGGGTGATGGCATGAACTTATTCTGTTACAACTGCCAAACAAGCGTGTAGCAATGCAAGGCCCCTGCATCTAGAGGCGATGATGGGCAATTGGGTGATGGCATTGTGAGAGCATTGAACAGACAGATGTGATGACCTTATTGTAGTTGAGCTCTACACATCCTGTGTGACTAGATGTTGAAGTCAATAACGATGCCGACAGTGACCAGGTTTTCATCCTCTCCTGTGCTTCTGTGTACTTTCCCTTGGCGAAGGCGGCTGGGGGACTTGTCACCATGCAATTGTGCCACTGTTTGATGAGTCATCGCTCACTGTGCAGTGCACTCTTCTTCGCAGTTCGGGCGGTGTGGAGATTTCGGGGATTGTAATCAGAGGGTGCAAGTCAAACAAGATAGTCAAGGTAGAATGCAGTGCAGGGGAGGCGGCCACTATTTCCAGGTCCACCTTTGCTGGAAACGAGGCCACTGCCAGCGAGGGGGTAGTGGATGTGATGGGGCCGTGCTCAGTGAACATGAGCAAGGTCGTCTTCACTAACAATAAAGGAGGTGGGCTGGGGCTGATAGGAGGAGCATCGGCCAGCCTGAAGAACTGTACTTTCGATGGCAACATTAAAGGCGGCAGTGGCGGTGGTGGTGCGATATGTGCAAAGGTGAGAGGGCTGGGACACTTTGCAAAGTTGCGGTTGGCTGTGTCCTCACTGTGTTGTGAGGATGGCCAGACAAGGCCCTGAGCAGTCATCTGCAGTTTGTCCATTCTTTGGATGTGCAATTCAGCTTGGGTCACAAGGCTGTTCTGTGAGTGTGTGGCTTGAGCACTGAACAGTTGGCCAGTTCAGATCTGACATATGTATAGTCAAGGTTTGTTCCCCATCCTGACAACATGTTGTGTGCCAGGGGAGTGCCTCATTGCTGGATGTTGAGCGCACCGTGTTCAATGGCAATGAAGTACAGGAAACTGGAGGGGCCATAGAACTCAGCAATGGTGCATCTGCAGTTGTGAGACACTGCACCTTCAGCAAGAACATGGCCACAGGGAATGGAGGAGCAGTTGCAGCCCTGGTACGGTGCCCCAGATGTTTGTTGTCCATGTTTAGGTGTTCGGGTGTCCTGACCAGTTTAGGCTGGGGACTGCTATGCCTGGTCGCACTCTCAGCCATTCACACTGGTGTGTGGGGTGCTGGCAAGTCTCACAAGGTGGTGGAAAGAGGCGCTGGGACGGGAGGATCTGATGCTGATGTGGACATGGTGCCTGTCTTGATAATCGGCACCATTACAGTTTCTCTGTCTGTGTCTTGTCTTCAACAGTAACTGGAGCACAGAGAGCAGTGCAGCATGTTGATATGTGTGCTGCTTCCAGCACTTGTCTGATTGGCCCCTGCCTTACATTCATTGGCATTGCTCTGCAGGACAATTCTGCTGCTTCAAGGTTGGATGTTACAAACACCACCTTCCGCAGCAACAAGGCAGAAGATGGTGGGGCCCTCTTCCTCCAGGGGGTCAGCCTGAGCACGTCTCTCAAGGGCGGCTCACGATTCTTGAACAACAGTGGCAAGCGCCATGGCGGAGCCATTTCAGGGAACTCGAATGGCGATGTGATCGCTGATGGCATCTTGTTCTCTGGAAATGAAGCTGGAAACACAGGCGGGGCAGTGCAGTTGTTGGTAAGGCACAGGGCTGTTGAAATGTTGCAAGTGCGACAGCTGTGGAGAGTTGCAAACAGCTCATACATGCATGAAGGAACAGAAAGACACCCCTTTTGGGAAGAAGCTTCCCAAGAGGGATGGTTGTCGAAAAAGCCATACCGTATTTACCTGGTATTGGTAGGCACCCCCTTTTAGTATCCACCCCCATCTTTGGGGGTCGAAACCACGTTAATATCCATGACCCGGTGTTAGTATCCACCCCCAAGCCTCAACAGAAACGAGCACAAGAGGGCTCGTTGGACTCGCCTTGGGGAGAAGAAGCTATTTCTCACGTCTTTGCTTGCGCAGCACTCTTTGTTGCATGCCTTCAACGTGCAACAGTTGATGCAAACAGCTATAGTGTGATATCCTATAATGCGATGCACTCGATGGCTGCAAGCTTCACAGCTTAAGCAGCTGATGATTTGGGAGAGGATTCAGAGGGTGTCGATGAGTATTTTGATGGCTTTGCATCAGATCTGGATGTGAACAGCGATTGATTGTGAATGCGTTTCTGCGTTTTTGCTTGGTATTTCGTAATTTTGACTTGGTGATGTGGCTGTTGCTGTACTGCATTTTGCATTCTTTCAAGCCTGTTTTTGGGCATTTCACCGCCTATTTTGCATAAGTTTTCTTTGTCTACTCCTTGGATTAGGGCTCTAAACCATGTTAGTATCCATGACCCACTATTAGTATCCACCGCTCAATCTTGGGGTCCAATACACGCCTACTAATACCGGGTAAATACGGTATGTATATCGCCTTGCTCATCGTACATTGCATGGCTGTTTCACCAGTGGCATGTGTTCACAGGTGTGGTGGGCAGGTTGTTTGAGTTATATCTGCATAGTGTGGGAAGAGATATGCTCTACGAAGAATAAATATGCACAGTATATTGTGTGTATTGTGCATGTATGATGCCCAAATGTTGCGCATATATCGTGTTGCATACGCATTGCTAGCAAATGCACGTCCATGCAGACATGGTTGCAGCAAGCGACCACCACTGCCTTGCAGGTGGACATCTGTGTCTTGTTTGGGGATTGCCCTGAATCCATAATTGTAGAATTGGTCTGTTTTTTTTCCTTCAACCCCTCCAATGACCACTGGACCATGTCTTTGTTGCAGGGGGCATTTGTTGAACATGTTGTGCGGTTCACAAACTCAATCTTTGAAGAAAACAAGTCATTGTCAGGAGGAGCGCTGCATGCTGAGGGACCCATGTCTCGGATTGAGCTGGACACAGATGTCCAGTTCAACAGGAACACTGCCATGGCAGGAGGAGCAGAGTTAGGAGGTGGAGCTGTCGCCTTTAGCGATGTGGGGAAGATCCTCATCAGGGGCGTGTCTTTCAGATCGAACCTCGCAATCCAGCTGCCAGGAGGGGCAGTGGTTGTGGAGGTGGGTCTGTTGATGCTTTCAGCCTATGGCATTGTTGAAATCTGTTGATGATGAATGTCCAAGAACAACTGTTGGCACGCATGCTTCCAGAACAGTGACAGCGTTGACAGGGTTCCCTGGACAGTTTCATCTGCCTGTGTGTGCTGGTCGTCTCCGTGCACACATGGGCTGGCGCCATCAGTCTTCAAGTCTTAATTCTACTGAATACCTGCATTGAGAATTTGTGTCTTGTGGATTGCAGGCGGCATCGAATCCAAGCGAAGTGACATTTGTAGACAGCACGTTTTTTGGGAATGCTGTCCAAGGGCAGCGCAGAATAGCTAATGGTGGTGGCCTGCACCTGGAGGGAAAGGAGCTGGCCACTACAATAACTGGCTGTATTTTTGAGTTCAACGCGGTAGACAATAATGGCGGGGGCATCGCTGTGAATGAGATCGACAAACTGAAGCTGGATTCTGTTGTGGTGTTCGACAATTCTGCTGGGAGCAGGGGTGGCGGAATGATCGCTGAGGTGTGTGGCTGTCGCTGTTTCCAAGGTTTCATCAATTGTCAATACCAGGAAGCATAATGTTTCACATATGTTCAGATTGTTTTCACACACATTACATTGGGCCTGGAGGCATGGACCATCACCAGTGTGGAAATCAAACAGGCTTTCCACCTTCCAAGAAGTGTTGGGCCGAATGGCAGAATTGTAGACATTTTGCTGGGCCCAACTCCCAGTTAGCATAAATCACATCTTGCTGGCCCTGCTGCCTGCAGCTCTATGTTGGCGGTGTTGATACTTTTGTTTGTGCACGATGTTGGTAACCTAGAACCAAAAAAAGGCACATTGTCCCAGCAGCAAAGAAACAGGCTCCTTAAATATCAACTCGCTGCCCTCAGATGCCTCTGCTTGTTCTTGCTATTGTGCCATTCAAAAGCAAAATCTGCGTGCGGGAATGGGGTCCTTGGTGATTGACACAGCTGCAGCCCAGTGTCCTACTTCTGCAGTTGATGCCTGTGTTCTGATTCCACTGCAGGCAGTCACACAGGGTGGAAACATTGTGATGCTGACCAACGTCACCTTCGCCAGCAATGCTGCTGGCCAGGAAGATCTGGGAGCCATGCTTGGCGAAGAATCGTGCAGCAGGCTGCTGTCGAAATCTGGCACAGGGGGTGGGCTGGCCTTGGAGGGTGAGGAGGTCAGCTGCACCATCACAGGCTCTTCAGAATTTCGCGCGAACACAGCCGCTTACGGAGGTGCCGTGAGCTTTGCAAGGGGGCGCAATTTGACCTTGGAGGACGTCAGCTTTGTCAAGAATAGCGCAGTGACGGGGGGTGCCGTGCAGATAGCGATCGTCGAAGGCACAGAGGCGATCAAGGGCTCCCGACTGAACTTCACCAGAAATACCGGGTGCCTGGGTGCTGCAATGCACATCGCCTGCCAAGATCCTGGTGTTGTGGGCGTCGAGGGGAACCACACAGACCCACCGACCATAGCCTTTTTCGAGGACGTCAGTTTCGATGCCAACAAGATCAAGGTCGAGGGCATCGGGGGTGGCGGGATGGCGGCAGAGCACATTGGCGTCAGCTGCAAGAACTGCTCCTTTGTGAAGAACGAGTGCTCCAGCCGTGCTGCCCTGGGTGGCGGCGCCCTGGTGTTGCCGGGGGCAGCCCTGTCCGCTGTGGAGTCCAGGTTTGAGCGCAATGAGGCGGGGGAGGGGGGTGGCGTGTACTGCGAGGGCTACTTCCTTGGCAGAAACTCCAGCTTTTCGGGGAACAAGGCTCTGAAGGATGGCGGGGCGCTGCGGGGAGTGGTGCAGCAGCAGGTGGCAGAAAGCGGCAAGGGGCTGACGGCCCTCAGGCTGATGGATCTGCACGACTGCATGGTGACCGAAAACAGGGCGAAGAGAGGAGGTGAGCTGTGCTGGATTGTGTGGATGGCTGAGGTGTTGTGTGAAGTCTGCTGATTTCCGTTTCACAAGTATAATATCGACCAAACTGCACGGTTTCAAACCATGTAGAAGTCGTGTAAAACCATGTCAAGGCATGTGAAAATCATGCACACTCAATCGTTACTGCATGGTGGGGTCCCATTTTTATACAATAAATACGCTATTTAACACAGTTTCTACACGATTTTCAATCGTGCTACACAGTGCACCATTTTCAAAACCATGCATTTGCGCCTGTGTTTTTACTGGTGTCTGTGAAAAACACATGGCAGAGCAAGACCCTTGCACCTTGAGAGGTGCTGACAGGCACAGCAGCATCCAGCCATGTTGGTGTTCCATCCAATCATCGACCCGATCCCCACCTGTTGCGTTTGTGGCGTTGTCACTCTGGTGCATTGTGGAGATCGCTGAGGACTTGCCAGGGGGCCAATTGGACGTTTGACGAATGGACATGCTGACACTGCGACGATTGGCGATTGTGAGTAGAAATTTTGGAATGATTAAGCTGTGAATAGAAAATTGGAATCTGACGATTTTGACGACTGACATCTTGGACGATTGGCACCGGATGGCTTGACGCTCTGACACCACGAGGATCTGAAGAATTGTTGATTTAAGAATTTAAGATTGAGGATTTGAAGTTAGAGATATTTAAGATATTTAAGATTAGAGATTTAAGATTGGCGTGTTGATTTAAGACGCCTCCCCATTTTGATTGCCGCCGCAGGCGGTGCTTTCGTGGCGCCCCAGGACACGGGCATCGGCCTGGAAGAGGAGGACGCGGACGTCCGCCTGGCGGCCATCTCCGACGCCGTCATGGCCGTGCACAACTCCCGCTTCCAGGCCAACAACGCGGACACCTCCGGGGGCGCCCTCTTCGCCCACGCCTCCGAGGTCTTTGAGATCAACTGCGGCGGGGGCGCCGCGGGGGGCCACAGCTTCCGGAACCTTACCACGTTTGATCCCGAGCTATGCGGCTGGGCCAACAACACCGTGTCCGACACGGGATACGGCGCGGTGGTCGCGACGGTGCCTGTCTCGGCGCAGATCGTGCCCAACAGGATCGTGGGCCACAGCAGCGGGGAACTCTTGAAGACTGTGGTTGTGACCATCGTGGACGGGCTGAACCAGACGGTGAACAGCCGGGAGACGCTGGTGGAGGTGGGGGTGGCGGAGCTGCAGGCGGCCTTCGTGTTCGGGCAGGAGGCCTCGCACACAGAGGGCGGGCGGGCGACGTTCGATGGGACGTTCCTTAAGGCGCAGCCGGGGACGTACCAGCTGGAGTACTCGTACGTTGGAATTGAGGCGCCAATGGTGCTGGAGGTGGAGGTAAGCACGGGCAGGCTGTTCCTGTTATCGATTGTTTTGCCAATTTTTTAATTATTGGTGTTTGAAAAAAAATATCCATGTTTATTGTGAGGACAAGAAAAGGTGTATAAGTAGTTAAGTGAGTTTTGGGGATCAGATACGGTGTTTATTATGGCGACATGGAGAATGATGGGGAAAAGATATGAACTGAACATGCTTGCGGTGAATGCTACATGACGGACAGAACTATTCTGTAATCCATCTGGTTGCGGCTTGCTTCCCGTGCCTGGGAGCGACCGTGTGTGAGCGCGAGCAACGAAACCACTCGATATTTATTATATCCATGTTTACAAGGCCGGACATCCGCGCGCGCTGTGCAAGCGCGGTCCTCTAATTAACCCGACGCCGTGGCATCATGCGGTCGGCTAGGCTACCCACATGTTCCTTGATGGTTGTGACACAATACGTATAAGTGTATGTTGTGCTAGGACCAAATAGAAATAGTCCTTGACGGCTTGGCAAGTAGTTGAATGCAAGCTAATTTCAACATGTGTTGAACATATTCAATCGCAGTGACCTTCAGTCACCTGGATTTGACATTTTAGGATCAAGTTAAGCACACCAAATAGCGTGCGAAATGGTGCACTAGCCGGTGCATGAATTCGTGCTCTAATTATTATACGATTGAATGCAATGTTTGTTGTACCACTCTCTACATCCATTGATGCGCCAATATGTATAGTAACTGCAGTATGAAAACGAAGGCAAGTTTTGAGCAATGGAACGTAATTTTCTGGACTAGTGTTTTAGTTATATGTATTGAGGGGATGTCGTGCACTACATCGAGTTGGTGCCTTGGCCACTGCACGGTTAGTCTTTACAGTGCTGGCTTTTGTGCCTTGCGAGCAGTAATGTTGCAGCGCCCGTTCAAGATCAAATAGTGTTGAGAATCTATGGGTTGTTCAGAAAAACTAAGCAGTAGCGAATGGGCGCCTTTTTAGGTGACGAACTCTTGTCCTCCTTGGCGTCCACAGAAGGGTGCACAGTGAAGGTGCAAGTGGATAATAGATCCTGTTAATAGCATCCATTATTCTTGAGAGATTTTATTTCCGTTTGTTGTCTTTTGTTCGTTTGTGGACGAGGATTTCCGTGGCATGTTAGCATTCATTCTGTTTTCCGTTTGAGGCGTTTTTTTCCCTTGAACGTTTTTTCATCCGTTCTGGGACACGAGCGAGCTCCCAGGAACGTGTGCGTTGGAGCGCGCCCGCAACGGGCTGTCCGCACTGGGAGGGGCGAGGGCGAGGCCCAAGGCGGGGCTGCCCAGGTGCTGGCTGCCGGCGCCTTGGTTGTCCTGCGATTGACCGCCGATTGACTGCCGATTGACTGCCAATTGACGGGCGCCATAGGGGGCGATCGCAGCAGCGAGGCGCGTCGTAAGATCGCCTGGTGTGTTGGCCGAGTTTGGTACCTCGATCGTCGTTGGGTCGCCGCTGAATCGGAGGCTACAGCTGGACAGGCGTTGTGGGCGATTGAGCAGCATAAGGGCAGCCAAGTTTGGACACCATGGCTGAGCCAGTGGTATGGGGGTTGGTGGCAATTGCCCGCCACCTTGTGGCCCCCCCGGATTGACGCCTCGCGGGCGGCCAATCACGCCGCCCGTGGGGGACTCGAATGCCCCCCCGCTGGTGGGGCGGTTGGCCGCCCATAAGCCCTCGAAAAATTTCACGGATCGGCGCCTCGCGGGTGCCGGTTTGCGACGGCTGCGGTGGCCTAGAATGTCGTCAAACAAGCAACGCGAATGGGCGCCCACGAAGCGCCAAAGGAGCAGCCCGATAGGCGCCTCGCGGGCGCCCATTTGTGCCTCTCGCGGTCGGCTGGAATGTCCCCCGCCGGTTCCGCAAAAGGGCGCCCGCGAGGCACAAGAAGCGCGGGAATATAGGCGCCTCGCGGGCACCCATTCGTGCCAGCCGCGGTCGCCTAGAACGGGCCCCGCTGATGGCGCCAGTGGGCGCCCGCGAAGCGCCAGATGCGCCGCACGATTGGCGCATCGCTGGCACCCAATCGCGCCGCCGGCCTTGCATTCAAACGGGGTTGGGGGTGGGGCGGTTGGGCGCCCAGGAGCCGCGAAATGCGCCGAGGGATTCGCGTCTCGCGGACGCCCATTCTCGGCTCCTGCGGCGGCCTGGAACGGCCTCCGCCGCTGGCGGGAATGGGTGCCCACGAGGCGGGAGAGGCGCCCCCCTGATTCACCCCTTGCACGCGCCCATTCCCGCCGCCCGAGCTGGCCTAGAGCGGCCCCTGACTGTGGCGGGATTGAGTGCTCGCGAGCCGCAAGAAGCGTTGGGGATTGGCGCCTCGCGGGCACCCATTTCTGTTGCCCACGCTGGCCTCCAACGGCCTCCGCCGGTCATGGGAATGGGTGCCCACAAGCAGCAATAGACGCCAAGTGATCTGCGGGCGCCCACGAGGTGCGAGCTGCGCGGCCTGATTGGCCCCTTGCAGGGGCCCAATCCTGCCATGCGCATCGCATTGGAACGGCCACCCGGGTGCGCGATTGGGCACCAGCGACTTGCGAGGGGGCCGGGTCATTCGCGCTTCTTGTGCGCCCACTCACGCCGCCCACTGCCGTGCTGGCCACTCCCCGCTTGCGAGAGGCGCCAAGCGATTTGCCTTCGCGGGCGTCCATTCGCGCCGCCCACGGTTTTTCAAACGGCCTCCACCAGTGTGGGAGATGGGCGCCCTGATTCGCCCCTCCTGGCCGCCCACTCCCGCCGCCCACTGCCGTGCTGGCCACTCCCCGCTCCGCTCTGTGCCGTGGTTTCAAAGCCCGGTCGGCCCATGTTCCTTCGGCTCTCGGGCGTGCCTGGCACTTTGGGTCCGTCAAAGCGCCCTTTGTCATCGGTTGACGCAAACCTCGTTGCAGGTCGCCTTTGTTCGCGACCGCAAGTCGCCTGGCCCCCGCCCTTATGTGTGCTTCGCTGCGGGCGCCGGCAAACCTCGCTCGGCGGCCAGGGCGAGAGACGCCAATCGCCACGACTCAAAGTTTCCTTGTCCTCCCATGTGCCCATGGCAAGCATGGCGAGGCGCGGGGCGGGGGGACGATGACGCACTTTGAAAAATCCGTGGCAGGGCGGCTGCTGATGCGTGCCAGGGTTGCCGCAGTGCTTTGCGGCAGTAGTGCATGCACGCATGTCTGACTTGCTGGGCGAATATTTTAAATACCGTCGGGTTAATAATTTATGTTATATCCATGTTTCAGTGCCCAGGTGCCAACCCTGTCCTAAAAATGGATTTGTGCACAGTCAGTTTCGATGTTGAGAGTGTCAGTACTGGAGCATGTGCTGTCTGCGATCTGTGCTCATATGAGTCCCAACTGACCGCTGCCCTGGCATTTTGTGCCCTTTGGGGCAAGTTTTCGCCACCTGAAACCAACATTAGCGTGCATGAGTGGAGTGTTGGCTTCAACTGATTCTGGCTGATTGTCACTGCAAAATCTCATGCTGTTTTGGGCTTACTGCTGTCCCTGGAATTGGGGAGGATGCGCTGCCATGTGACCATGAGAAATGTACAATCGTGGGCTGAAGTTGCGGCCACGATCTCAATGCGCAGTGCAAGGGGTCCCTGTGTGTTGTGCGCTGTTGAAGCACTTTCGTTGGTGGCGATTCGCTGAAATGCTTTTGCGATGGTGGCAGGTGCGGCCATGTGCCATGGGCGAGGTGGAACGTGGCCAGGGCAGCATATGTGAGCCATGCCAGACCAACCTGTACAGTTTCAACCCAAAGGACAGCGAGTGCAAGACATGCCCCACTGCCAATGCCTTCTGCAATGGCTCAACCATCACGCCCCTCAAGGTGGTCACGCTGGCCCTGTGCCTGCTCATCTGTTCTTGTGCTGCCAAAACTACTGGTCAAATATGCAATTGCTTAAATCTTCCAAAGTACGAAAGAGGCAGCAGTGTATTGCTGCCTGCACAGCGCTGTTAATATGCACACCCATGCACCTTTTTGTGTGTTCATTGGTCGATCACTGTTGTATTCGTTCCCTACTGATGTCGACATGTCCGCTTGAGGTTGTGCATTCTTTTGTTGCATGGCTGTGGGATCGCCAGAGCTGCCTTGGGCATGTGCGTTTACTTGTGTTTGTGGTGAATTTTATTCTACTCTTCATCAACGCTGATTGTATTTCCGCTCTCGCTTGTGTTCTCAAGTCCGAGGGGGAACACCTCGCCGCTTCAACGATGGCCAGCACACTGCATTACTTACCCATGCAGACATTGTCAGTTTCGAATGGGCAAGACAAGCTAAGCCGCAGTGAGGTTGTAGTGCTGTTCTGCCACATTCTGTTAGCATCATTGTTTCACACGCTTGTCGTTTTGGTATCATTCTTACTTGCGGTACATTTGAAACTGGTGTTGAAGAGTGATATCTTCTGTGTTCATCAACGTTCTTACCACTGTACCTTGTCCGTGCTTGCAGGGCTACTGGCACTCCACCTCCAGGTCGCCACAGATAGCCGAATGCCTCCATGTTGAGCCGTGCGACTACAAAATGCGGAAGGAGAAATTGGCCATCTTGGCGGCTGAGGCGCATGCCAGCAACAAGACTTTGATGGGCGACGAGTACCCTCTGTGTGCCTCGGTGAGCATGGACTGGCCGTGCTGGGCGGGCACCGTATTAGGATTCGAAACAGACGTTTCAACAAATTAGTGATACTGTTGTATTGTGGTACATAGTGTAGCAGTGTGCAAGATTGTAATGTACAGGATTGGATTGCAATGACCACTGCAGTTCGCAGTGCGCAGCGTGTTCCCTTCATAGCGTGTGGCGCAACGAAGTCAACCCGCGCGTCATCCTTGCGCTGACGCGCCCCTTTATGAAATGGGACAAGAATGTATTGGTCCAGCTGTGTTTTCCGTGAAGATCCCTTCTTCTTCTGCTAACAAGGACAACGTGGGTCAGCGGGCCAGTGGTTCAGGGTCAAGTGTGTCGAAACAAGAAGAGCTCTTCACGGAAATAGACAGAGCGACTAATTTCATGCCAAATGGGATGGTCTTTGGGGGCGTCCAGGACCCTGACTGTTGGCGGGCAGAGCTGTCTGGACACGACTGAGACTGTCTCCTGGCTGCTGCAGGGCTACAAGGGCGTGCTGTGCGGCGCGTGCGCCGATGACTTCGGAAGGCAGTCGTCGGGCGCGTGCGCGCAATGCGGCTCACGGCACGAGTCCGTGCTCATCATCGCGCTGGCTTCCCTGTGGTCCACCGCGCTCATCGCCTTCTTCGTACGCAGCGTCCTCATCGACTCGCAGCGCTACGACTTGCTCCTGCGGAAGAAGACGGCGGGGAACAAATTGGAGAGGGACAACTCTGGAGACGGCTTCGGGGGCCCACCCGTGGAGGCCATTCCCGAGAACGACGTCCCCAAGGAAGGCGCTGGCGATGGGGATGTCGAGGAGGGGACCCTGGCGAATGCACCCAAGGCGAATAAGACGATTCAGATCTTGGAGATAATCGACACCGGCAGCCCGAGGAAGGCCGAGGAGGGGGGTGCCGCAGGCTCGCGGGCAGCCGGGGAGGGGCCCGGGGGCCCGGACGCGGGCCCGGACGGGGCCGGCGGCGATAATAAGGGTACGAGGAAGAGGAGGTCGCGGCGGAGGGTGGACGCGGCCAGCATGTCCGCGAAGTACCGGCAGACCCTGGCGGGCATCGACGCCAACTACATCCGGGAAAACCGCGCCCCGGAGATCTTCAAGGTGCCGTTTGCTGCGAGAATACTATAGTCCCTTTGTCTTTTCTGTGAAGATCCCCTCTTGCACTGACAAGGCCAACGTGGGTCAATGGGTAAGTGGTTTAGGGTTTAGGGTGTCCAAACAAGATGGGATCTTCATTGAAAAGACAGAACGACTAATTTCATGCTGTTTGCGGCCGAGAGGCTTCATGTTTCGTTTGGAGTGGCATGCTGATTGCATTCGTTGGGCCAATAGTGCGCAATTCCATTGATGTGGCCACATTCTCCAATCCTCCTATCGTCGATACCGTTGAATATCCAGCCCTTCCGCATTGGAAAATTTTACTGCAACGCATTTTGCAAAGCATTTTGTTTAGAGCGTTATTCTATTTTTTATGTTCCTCCGCCAGAAAAGGCCAAGCGTTGCATTACCATTTCATTAACTTTTCTCTGCAAAGAAAGGCCAGGTGTTATGTTGCTGTGCAGGAGGACTGAATGCTTTACACAACGTGGAACTGCGGCCGCATGGCATCATGCGATCGCGCCCAGTGCAGTCACATTTTCACGCATCAGCCCCTGATTAGGGGATGTGACAGGCTGCCCCCCCCCGGGGTGATGTGTTGGCTGGCTCTGTACTCGTGCTGTCTCTAACCTTGCTGATGCGATCGCAGTGCTGAATATGGGCGCACATTCCAACCTGCGATCGCACATTACCACGTGACTTGTGCGATCGCCAAGGCACCAGGGGTACCATCAGTGCAGTGACCATGCGATCGCAGGCTGGAATATAACCACGGTACCCCTGTGAATCTACCCTGTATCAGCTGCCGCTGACCATCGAGCTGTTTGTTCCCTTTCCTGCAGATCGCAATAAACTTTCTGCAGCAGATAAGCATCGCGCTGGCCATCAATGTAGAGTGGACGACGGCCATCAAAAAGATGCTGGCCACGTTGGGTAAGGAACGCTGAAAACTGCCCCGACAGCGCTGTGGCAGATCCAGCTGCCAGTTGAGCCATTCTGGCAAGTGCCTTCTCATTTCTTGGTTTTAGCTCAGCTGTTTCATCTTCTATGGTTGGGATCTCCTGGGACTCGGCACGTTCCATATGCTGGCATTCCAGGTGATAGATTTCGATGGCCTTGCTTGCTGCATGTCTAGACAACTTGCTGTATTTGAGAATCGGAGTGCCACAAGCATTGCGAGTGGTTGTCTTGTCAGCAGGTTGGCCCGGACGCTCTCTTTGCACGAACAGAAGGTTCAACAAATGTGGCATGTGGCATACTGCTGCCATCGTGGCAGCAGTTCCGCTCTTGCACACACACAGGTGCTGTAGGTTCGCAAGAATCAATAAAAATGAAATAAAAAATGGAAGAGTGAATGAATGAATAAATGGCTAAATAACAACAACTGAATTAGTATTTCATGGCATTCAAGAGTTCAGGTGCCAACCTGACCCAGCAGAAGAGAAGTGGTCCTCCTGCCGCGCTTGCTGCCATCAAGAAAGTGCAAGGCCAAGCACTGCACTTCCTACTGCTCGTGCTGTAGCTGCTAATAGTTGAGCAGTAGTAAACCTGGCCGTAAATGGGGCTCACATATGCCATTGCCTGGACGCTGAGTGAACGAGTGTGGGGTTTGTTGGTGCAGACTTTGCCGGTGGCTTCTCCAACGCGAGCGCCTTCTTCTCCATGGACTGCGCCCTGCTACCAGGTTCCGTGCCCAAGTCCATCCGCCGCACGCTGCTGAACCTCTCCTTCCCTTTCCTGCTCATGGTGGCCTGGATCTGCTTCTGGTTCTTCATTGCAAAAGTACGCAGTTGCTTCCGATGACCTTCCCAGGAACACTGTGCGTTTCTTTTCTGCTTTCTATTTTTCGTTTCTTTCTGTCTTGTGGCCAGCCGGCAGGACACAGGGATGTTTGATGTGACTGGGAACTCGAAATGCTATGCCTCTTTCGTGCCCTTCCAAAATCTGTGTGTGTCTCCTCTGCCTTTCGTAGTCAGCTGCCTACGTGGCCATCTGATGGCGACTGGGAGCTGCAAAAAAATGTACATACTGTACTTTTATATTTGTTTTTTACATATACTCCTTGTTTCGTTCCAAGCATTTGCGCATGCCTTTTCACTGCCAGCCGGCAGTACGTAAGGCTGTCCTACCGCCAAGAGGGACTGCGGATGATGTGGGACAGTCCACCAGCAGCTGTGGAAAGCACCACACATTCATCGCAGGCTCAGGGGTAGTGCTTCGACACCTTGAGCTGGCTGTGACCGCAGCTTGATTCGCCCCCTGCACAGGTGTCGCCTGCCTCGCGGCGCGTGCTCAAGAAGCGCATCATCGTCACCATCTGGGGCGTCTTGTACGTCACCTACTTCGACATAACTTCCCGCCTCGTGCGCACTGCCTACTGCGTCGAGGTGGACGACCCCTCGATCTCTGGCCCCCCCGACTCCGTGGCCTTCGACAGCTACTGGTCCGAAGACACGGGCGTGAAGTGCTGGCAGGGCCAGCACCTTGCCCTCTTCCTGGGCTTCGCCCTCCCCCTCTTTTTGCTCATCCCCGTCGGCCTCCCCACCTGGCTGGTGTCCTTCCTGTGGGTGAACCGCACGAGGTTCGATGACCTGGTGTTCCTGGGCAAGTACGGGGAGCTGTACAAGGCGTACCGCAAGCAGCACGTGTACTGGGAGGCCGTGATCATGCTGCGCAAGGCGCTGCTGTCGGTGGTGGTGGTGTGGCGCACGCCGCTGGGGGGTGAGCTGCAGGGCCTGCTGGCTGTGAGCATACTCGTCGTGAGCTGCTTCGCCCACCTCATATTCAAGCCCTACAGTGAGGCGCTGTACGGGCTGAACCAGTACGAGACCCTGGCGCTGGGGGTGTCTCTGCAGGTAGGGTGAGGGTGTGTGCCCTTTTGCAAAGGCCAAGTGCAGTCATGTGATATTCTTGATATAATGATGGGGTTTGAATGGGAAGCACCGCTTGGGAGCAGAAAATGGGTGTCGTTTGCTTTGATGGTTTGACTGGTGTCTGCAGGTGGGATTTGACAGCAGTTTGATGAACAGCGCTTTTGATAGTGCTTGTGGCGTGGAAACGGGACAACATATTTGCACCATGGAGTCTCGGCTGGAATTGTCGTTTGTGCGCTGGGCCTGTGGTGCACTGACCACTATTGCCGCTCTTGCATACATAGTTTCTTTCAAGCAGTGACGACTCCAACACAAGCTACAGCCCTGACTTGATGCCATGATCAGGCCTCAAACTGTGTGCTATTTTGGCAGTTTGCTGTTGGGGTTTTGGGTAGCTGATGAGTAAGCGAACTCTGGTTTCAGAACACACTGCAGCACCAAATTGGATGCCTGGAAATGACTGTGATGAAGTGCATGACGAATTTCGTTCTGTCTGCTCAGGTGTACCTCTCAGGGCTGATAGTCAATAGCCCCGGCACCTCCGACGTAGCCCGCGTGATCGTGTCTGTGCTGGCGGTCCTGGCCGTCACGGTCCTTCTTGGCGGCTTCCTGTACGAGCTGGCCCACGAGAGCCACAACTACCTGGACTTCCTGCTGGACGAGAAGGCGTTGCTGGAGAAGGCAGGAGAGGATGCGGGCATGACGCGAAAGGTGGGGTCCGCAACACGTGGAACATAGACAGGGTCTTGGTTTGTGCATCGCCAGCATTGCGAGTCAGGTTTGACCACAACTGCGTTGATGTGCAAGACGGTCCTCTTTTAGCCTGCAGACGGTGCGAGGCAGGCGGGCAGGCAGGCAAATATGCATGTATAGTATGCATGTAATGTACACGTGTAGTTTATACATTGTATACTTTTGTGCTTGGATGCTTGGAATGCATGCATGCTGTAATCACAGCGAATGCATTCTAAGCACAAAGAGTCACATTCCTTGGCTGAATCTGTTGTCCTGAGCGCCCTGCATCAGTTTTGGGTGAGTTAATGAATGATTGGTCGCTTGACGCTCTGGTTGTTTTGCTTTACCAGGTGGGAATGCTGGGCAAGTACTACGTGGACAAGTCCAAGGACATCGTGGGCCAGTCGGTGGCGAAGGTCAGCTCCACCGCCCAGCGCACGCTCAACCGCATGAGCGCCCAGGTGCAGGAGCTGGGCTCGACGTCCAAGACGCGCCGGAGCGCGGGGGCCTCCCTCAGCGGCCTGCCTCATGGGCCGCGACCCACGATGAGCATGAACGCATCCGGGTCGAAGCAAGAGAATCAGAAACACGTTCTGGGCAGCCAATCGGCGCAGCCGAGTGGGCCCACTCGCCGCATGCCGGAGCTCTAGCGACGGCCAGCCCGCGCCTGTGCTGGCGATCGGATTGGCCGGCGCACCGAGGAGGGGTGTGCGCGGGGAGGGGGAGGTCTGGAGTACATTATTTGTAGGTTAGGAATCCTAGCTAAACCCGTGGCGTCCTAATTTGGGATGCTAGGGGGAAGCGGGCTCGGCCGGGCGCTGCGTTTTTTGCTTAATTATTTTTGGCAGCGAGGGTGGTCCTTCACGTGCCTTCGGTTGCCGCTTGGCGGACATGGGAAGGGGTGTGGAGGATTCATGGGGGTGTGCGGCATGGGGAACCAGCGTGTGAGGTTTTCCCCATTGGACGGCGCGGAGTGCAGTCCCTGCGATGCTGTTGGCCCGGGTTGCCCCCACCCTGGACGTCTTGACTCGCCCCATTTTTACGCGACTGGGACAAGATTTGAACGGCTTTTGAATGCAAATTTAATGTGCTGTGTAGTGCGAATGATGCGGGTGAACATGTTGTGATGTGTGTGGACGCAGTCCTGCTGGTCTGCGTTGTGGCAGCACAGAAGATGAACGTCAAAAGAAAGGTCCAACTGATGCAAAAGATCCAACCACCCACATACCCTTTTCCCCACACGGGGGCTGCTGAGCATTCATATGCCCGAGATTGGCTGGACTATTGGCGCCCGCATCCACCACATGCACCTTCCCTTGGCTAGGGATGTACCCCACCGGCTTTTCTAGGACCGGAAACCAGTCCTATTACCATCGCCGTTCCTCGCAATCGCCTTTCATGTCAAGGTTTGAAGCTGTTCCTGGCCCCTTTAAAGGATAAAATTATCTAGCTGGCCCAGCTAGATTGAGAAAAGGGTTGTACTCAGCTCGATTTCCCATTCCTGTGCCCGTTGCTATGCCTGTTCCTGTGGCCGTACTTTTGCCCGTTCATATTTCGTTTACCTTCCAATTAGGCCCATCTGAGGTGGGCCAACTGGTGGCTAGTTCCTCAAGGCACTCTCACAATCACCTGACCCTCCAGCGCTTTGCTTTACTGCGTATGGCTGATTGTGCTTTGGGACACCTCGCTCCCTCGCTTTGGTTTTTCCCATCTTGAAGGAAATGCCGTTGATACGAGTCAAACGGCTCCTTTGCAGTGCACATGGGAAGTGCGAATCCACAATCACTAATGCTTCAACGGCTTTGGCACACGGCCAGGCACAAGGCCACACCACGCACAAAACGCCCAGGGCTTACATATTTGTTCACCCTTCGGACAACGAAGAGCCTTGCCGATGGTGGCAACGACCCCCGCAACCGAACAGTTCGAATCTTCTTGCACCCACAAAACTCTTCTTTTCATATGACCAGGACCATCATCCACCACAAACCAGCTATACGACACTTCAGAGATACCCACTCATCACCACAATGCAACCAATTTCATAAAACATATGCCAAAGGTGCCCATACACTCAGTGGTAATGTAGAAATGTTTTCCAATTGCGAGCGCGACCCAACCATAGCATCTGTCTCTGAATCAGATGGCATCTCCCACGACAATCAAATTGATGTTCACAAAAGTCCCATCATCAGAGAAATAATTATGTGAACTCTAAAACATATTCTTCTTTTCCTTTTATAGATTTAGAATGCTTTGCATATAAACCATTTTCTTGAAGTGCACACAAGTCGCGCACCATAATGTATAAGTGATCCACCCAGTGAAGCAGCGGTCATTATGCGGTGTTGCAAGCACCCATCAAACCGTGCTCAACCATGTATTGTGCGAAAGTTGCGCGATAATTGTTTGCACGCTGCAACCACCCCATGATTTGTTAATGTCTCATAGGCGCCACCCAAGGATGCCCACCCGCAATGAAGAGAGCACAACAACATCAAATAACCACATGTGGGAATCCACCAGCCATGATGGCCTGTAGAATCTCTGGATGTGCGCCAAAAAGGAAGATGCAACAAAATGTCGGGCACGATTACCACCACACCAGGAAGCATGCACACCGGCTACAACTCCAAGATGCACCTTTCTTGAGGGGGTCCTATGACGAGTAGCATGAGGGTCGGGTTGATTGAGCACAGGCCACAAAGGCCGCGGACAAAAGGCACTCCTGCCGGAGGTTGCCACAGGTTCCCACACGCTGTGCGTGCAGAGTGGGCCTTTATCCCTGGGTCAGGGAATCACCATCAAAGGCACCAATTCATTACATAGGAGTCCGGGCAAGGAACAGCCCCCACATAACGCACAATGGACCACAAATCCCTCTTTTCTATCCCCAGGCATTTCTCAAATGGCCCCCTTCGTTGGAAAGGACTAGTGACTATTCAAATCAAATCTGGATCCTTCAATTCCTACCGAACACATCACCTCAACGATACACTCTATTCTAACAGGGGTTTACCAATTTCCTATAGCCCTTGTATACTTGTGAGTAGTCCCTATCAATCATAACACCATCCTCACCATGTCCACCTCATCTCCTTCTATTCCTCATCTCTCCTTTGTACTCCTTAGCGCCCAAACGTTCAACCTCCCACCCGCCTAGGATCCCCCTGTGTTATGTCCCAGCATTGGCCCCGTAGCCACTTCAAAAACCTCATCTTCAACCGCTTCGTGGATGTCACATCTGGAGGATTGGAGGGCACTTCGTTCTCTGCCCAGATGCACAAGTTCATCATGGCCTATTGGCGCATGATATCATGGTCTCCTTGGGTTGAACTTTTTTGACCCAGATCTCGTGTTGTGCTTCATTGCCTTCTGTGTTAGCCCATCCGAAGTGGGCTCTTACCACGCTTAAATATCCTCAGGCATCCTCATTGACGTGTCGCTCTATGTTGTCCCACACCAGAACGACTTCTGCCATCAATATTCTGACCTTCTTCAAGTTGTCCGCCTGGCGCCCAGAGCTTCGCACTCCTTGATCCAATCCTCAAGGTTGGTGTCTTGCCGTACTTGGAGTAACTCCCCCCGCAAACGCTTCCAATCAAAGTCCATTGAGGACGATATGCTGGCATCGACTGATGGGCCAACCGACGGCATCTCGACCCGTGCAACACCACAACTGACTCGCTCCCCCCCCTACCCCCTACCCCCCACCCCCACCCACCCAGTCCTCACATTTCCCATGGAGCCCCTAACCGGAAAAGCCCTGCCACATGGTGTGAATGGCATACTTCCAGTCACCCTCACACCCAACAACTAATGTCTTACCATCACCCTAGTGCGTCCAAGGTAACTAGCATGTCTCCTCTACATCAAAATTCCACGTTATCCCTGTTGACCCCTGTCCCGCAATCGCACGATCGAACGCACATGCCCGACATGCATGCCTCACTATTGCCGGCGCCACTAGCCCGGCGGTCCGCATTCAATTCAGACGATCCGGGGAGAGGGCAAACCTGCTGCCTGCCCCCTGCCTTCCTCAACCAATTTTGCACCTCGACTCGAACGTAGTCGATTTCCCGCATTTCCTTCAATTCATGTTTATGCTCGTGAATCCTATTCATAGCTTTGACAACAGCCTAAGACATGTCCCCTTACAGAAAAAGGATAGGCGAAAGGTATCCCAATGCCCTTTGCTTCGCCGCGAGGGGCTGAAGTTCCTGTTCCTGACGTTCCATGTGAGTTGCTTCCATGTTCACACGACGACCATGCCTGAAGAAGTCCCCTGCAATCGGTGACTCAGCAGCCCTAATCTGATCACTAATATTGTCATAAGCATTCCACAGCACGGGCATATTCGACGCCTATTTCAAACGGGATTCCTCCATATCTTGTGCACTTGTATCCCATGCACTTTGCAGCCCATGGTGAGCCATAACCTCAAAATCCGCCATGAACCCATCCCTCATGTTTTCCAAGAAGCCTTCAAAGGATACCCTCTCATTAAATAGTGCTACTGTCACTTTCACTACATCATGAAAAATCCAAATCCCTCTCCTCCCACAATATGTCCCATACGCATTTTGCATATAACCATTGCTCACAATACACCACTCGATCATCAACAAGCACCAGTGGTGATTGGTGTTGCACGACCTACGACGCTACTCCCGGTACCCTCAGGCGTTCGGCAATGAATTTCTCTGCCTCCGAGGCAAATTCCTCAACATCCTCTAGGAGCGGCAACGCCTGTTAATCTTTTTGTCATCGCACCCATGCATGTCTGGTATCCAAAAGGCCGGAGGAACTTGAACTGGCCATAACTTTGTATCACAACTGGTTACTCAAACGACAAGTTCCCCTTTCTTTTAGATGTTTCCTTCTATATGCCATGATACCCCGCTACCACTTTTCAACACTCTAATATACTCCCGCAACTTACTAATTTGGGAAAAAGCACCTATCCACAGCCCCTTACCAAAAGAGCCTGTTTACCCTTTCCCTCCTCCTCCGGTCTCATTGGGTTGCTTTGATTCCATCCCCCCAAAAATGTACTTTACCCAATATCCTATCAAATTCATCGAACTTTGCATCTAAGTATTGCCAGTGAATCACCCAGTCACTTCCTAATGTCTCCCAGTTTGGATAATGTTGAAAAGAATGCCCCATCGCGTGCAGAAAGACAGGCGATTCCCCTCCGGAGTCAACCAGAGAAGCGGCGACCGCACATCGCCCCCTTTCGGCCTTTATCGTAGCCGGCACTCGCTGCCGGAACCTGCAGTAACTCCGCCTTGCAGCAGTCCTGTCCACGGTTCACGACTCCTTCAACACACCACGTTATGTGCCCTCCCTTTCGCCTCTCGTCGCTCCCCATCAACCCACGTCGCGCCAACGCCCTTGCCGGCGCATGGGGCCCTCCGCCTGCGATCGCACAGCCCTCACGGGGCATGCAGAACTTTCACCGCACGCCTTAGTAAGGCACCGGCGTGTGGAGATGCCCCAAGTTTGGGGCCCGCGTCCAGATGCGTGCGAGTAGCTATCCCCTGCCGCGCGGCCTCACGGAAGCCACGCCTTCGGCGTCGGGGGCCTGCAATTTGCCAGGCGGTTCGGAATGCGGCCTTGCCACGATCGGAGCACAGAATGTAGCACC